GTATGGTAATGTATGGTAATGTATGGTAAGGTATGGTAAGGTATGGTAAGGTATGGTAATGTATGGTAATGTATGGTAATGTATGGTAATGTATGGTCATGTATGGTCATGTAAGGTCATGTAAGGTCATGTAAGGTCATGTACGGTCATGTAAGGTAATGTAGGGTAATGTAAGGTAATGTAAGGTAATGTAAGGCAATGTAGGGTAATGTAAGGTAATGTAATGCAATGCAAGGTAATGCAAAATAATGCAAAGTTATGTAATGCAATGTAATGTAATGTAATGTAATGTAATGAAATGAAATGCAATGAAATGAAATGGAATGGAATGAAATGAAATGAAATGAATGAAGGAACGAAGGAATGTATGTATGTATGCATGTATGTATGTATACAGGTACGTGTGTGTGCATCACATGCATGGCCAGCCTTGATCCAATTGTAGATTCGAGGGTTCCGATCCTGCAATTCGAATCGAGACTTCGGGTGTGCCAACTTAGGAAGACAGCAGTGCTGCGAGTTCCCGTCGAGGGGCGGGGCCCTGGTGCGATTCTCCAGGTCGGTACCTTGACGAGAACTCAGACCGGCCAGGGTTAGGGAGATGCTTTGCCGTTTCACCCAAAGCGGCGGGGGGCTCCCGGGATTCTTTTGGAATGTCGAGGTGAGGGCCAGCTTACGCCCGGTGACTTGGAGATTATGCGGCAAATGGACTCCTTGACAGCCTCTAGGCTTTGCCACATTCGGCCCTGGAGCTTTGTTTAGCTTGTTCCAGTCTCCGGCTTGAGGCTAAATCCTTGGGATCCTTTGAAAAAAAGGCCCTGAGTGAGCTGCGCCTTGATGCTTCCACTCTCATGTGCCGGGCTGCGTGCTGCATGTGGTTTTTTCGCAGGCTTCCACGGTTACTCAGCTGTCGTCGGCTCTGCAACATGGCCGAGCCACGACTCAGAATACCAGCGGGATGGTTGCAGTGAACGGACAAAGTGTGTACGAGTTCCGAGTTTCCTGGCTGAAGCTTCGCGGCCATGTTTGTCAGCCGGGAGTAGCACAAGCACCTGCTGCTGGAGTCGAAGGCCGCCGGCTTTGCCAGCTAAGGTTGCCGGTGCTGAAATCGAAGACACGTGGAAGAACGGCAAACAGTTTGTCAAGCTTGCGGTGGATGTGCAGCTGCTTGCTCAGTTGACAGCATGAGTGCAGGGTTCCGGCTGTCGACTGGCGAAATTGTCAGATTGCAAGATAAACCTGACCAAGTACAATGTCACTAATAGCAGCTAATGGCACAGAGCCTAGCAGCCGGGACTGAGAATTTGGACTGCAACATGATACAAATCCTGCGGTGAACGCGCGAGGGTTACCTGTGTGCCTTGGCCTGGCAGGCAGTCTATCCCCAACAACAGAGGTCCACCAGAATTCCCAAATACAGCGCCTGATGCAACTAAAACCGAGCTGCGCGGTTGGCTGGAGTGGTCAGTTCCCTGCGGAGTCGGGAGTGTCTTGACCACGCCTAAAACACGAGAACTGGCCAATCAAGAGCTCCATCTGCCGCAGCATCTTCAAACTTTCGCTCCGAAGCCCAAAACTGAGATTTATTCGGGGGTGGGCGCCGGGGAGGGGGGGAGGCGGGTAAGGCAAGAGAGTAAGGATGTGGGAATCACAGGGATGTAGCGGTGCATGGGTCAGGCGTGACATGTCGTGACGGCAACGACTTTCATGCAAAAGCTGCCACGTTTCATGGGCTGGATAGTCAGCTCCCTCGCGAGGTATCCCTGGGAAATGGAGCCCGTCAAGTATCACAAGGCACACACTCTAAGCATCAACGATCTTTGGGTGGACAAGTTGCTTGACTTGAAAGCGTGGATTTCTCCTGGAGTGCCGAAATGGAGCTCCAGCTTTTCCTGTTCCGAGGTATCCGGTCACCAACGAGGTTTACGCCGCCTTCCTGAAGCAGTCCTCCTATGCACCGGAGACCTGGCCGGCATTATGCCAAAGCCTTGTTGCCATCAGGGGGGTTCAGTCGGAAAAGCCGTCAGGTCGACTCAGGCAGCTTCTTGCGCCACTGGGGTTGTACCAGCCCGAAAGACTGCTCGGTGCCTCCCGGTATGGCCAAAATGCCGGTGGTCTTCGCCACGCGGCTCTAAGAAGGGGCGGTCGCACGCACGACGCGGGCGCCCTTTCTTTCCGAGGTGAGCCGTCAGGATGCCGAAGAGTTCTGCGACTTAACTGAACAAATCTTCCAACGCAATCCATGGCGTTGGCACGTTGGGGTGACCCCTTGACATATCCCCTCCTGTGCCAGGCACCTTCTACGGCAAGCGGCTTCCAAGAGAATGGGAATGGCAATATGTTGCACAGGCCCATCTTCGGTGCTTCGTCCTGTTCGTGCTTGAGTGAGTAGTATCCGGCCCATAGCTTCCGTCTTCGGCTGACGGCGCAGGCAGGAGACCCCGAGCGCACGTATCCATGGGGAAAGTGGTGGTGGGAGGAAGCTGTCCCCGCCCCACAGGCAAACGCAAGCTTGTTTGCTTTGGGTTCCTGTGCAGCAGAAAGGGCCGGGAAGCAGCCTCGTGAAGACTGATTCTTGTTTCGTGACACCGCAAGCGCTGAGGCGAAGTGGGACGGTTCCCGAACGGGTCCAGCCCTGGTGGTGTGGAGGATTTGGTTGGCCTCGTTTGGCAGTGGACAGATGAGTACCAGGACGAACATAATCGTGCAGCTGTTCTGCGAGGCTCCATGGTCGCACTGGACAAAGAAGCGGCGACGGCCGGCAGCACGTATGGGTTTCCAGAGTTGCACCAAGGGGGCTCCATCTTCCAGCCTAATGCACACGATTCGGCGGGTGTCCCGCATCCGCGTTACCAGCCCTGGTACTTTCCTGGCCGCGCTCCAGCAGGAGATGATTCCACTTGTGTTCCGCTAGGGTGCTCGTATAGGGTTTCGTTCAAAGGAGCTTGGGACGACAAATGGACCGGTGACCACTACTTCGGCCCGAAGGAGACGTGCCGAGTGCGTCATCCACCGTCTCCTCGCCGTTTTTAAGGGATTCTGTGCAGGAAGTAGTGGATGTAGTCAGCCACGAGCTGATTGTGCCAATTACTATCGTGCAGAGGATATTCCATTCCTGCGCGGCCCTGTAAGCGCACGATTTTCGCAGTACCCTCATAAGCACCTCCTGATTTCGGGCGATGAAGTTGTCCGGTTTTGAGACAGATAATGATGGCGCACCATTTGACGACTTTCCAAGGGTGCAGCTCAACCGTACATGTGTGAGACATCAGAACTTGCTAGACTCTAGCTGCTAGACCATAGCAATGTACAATCATATTATCGTAGGTATAGACTCTACGGCCTCGACGGCTTTACCGGGAACCGTGCGCCTCCACACCGAACATAGAAAGATAAAACAAGATCAATCATTGCACATATGGGAAGGAGGTTTAGCATTAGGAGCATTAGGAGCTCGCAGTTGTCCTGCCGTTGTGCTTCGCCGTGCAGGACTACAGAAGCCTGTTCAAGAACACGGTCCATGCAAAGTACCTTCTCATGGCACCCTCCCTGGACAGAGCGGGTACAATTGGATTCCGATGCGTGGCTGATAGAGCCTGAAGCGGCTTCCAGCGTCGCGAAGCATGAAGCATCATCGTCGCAAAGACTTGAGAGGCTGAGTGGTCAGCAGTCTTCTGTCACCAAGCCGGTGATTAGCAGAGCCAGGTTTCACAACACGAAGAAGCGCCAGTTGTAGAGAGATATTTCTGCACATGTCAATGAGTCAACTGATGTCACCTGAATTTTCACATGCAGCAAGCCCATCCAAAAAGCTCCTGCAGGCTTTGCCTGTGCCGAGTGGTGTGCCAGCCTCAGCATGCCGAGGGTGAGTTCGCTGTACGACATCTTGAGCTTGAGCAAAGCTGGCTGGCAGGCACCGGTGTCGCCGGGGACCATGCTGCCCTCAAACCGTGGGTGCGCCCTTGTGCAAGTTTTGGGCAGACGTGCCTGGTCGGCCATTGGCGGAGTTGTAGTGTAGCACACTTGTGTGCGAAATGACAACTCCTAGCTTACACTCACAAATCCATCGGCATGCACGCGGATTTGTTGCTTCGATTGAATGCGACTGCTAGGAATCCGTTGCCGTTTTGGCTAAAGATTCTTGAAACTTCTTCTTTTGTACTGCCG